AGTACTTTTAAAGTTTAATTAAGGTACGTTAACTGTTTAAACGTAAAGTTAGTTAGGTCCGAGTAATTTATTACTAAGTTAAACGTAATTACTAATTAGTCTTTCTTACACAAGGTATCAATTTTTTTTTTATTTAAGTTTTAAGGTTTTGTAAAGCAATGTTTTTCTTGTGCCTTTTTTTTCTTTTCACCTGTTGCCTATCCAACATGCAAAGTAATTTTCATTTTAAGATTAAAATACTTTTATGCATCAGAAAATTTCCAAATTTCACATGTGAAATCTTTATAATGTCCAGGTAGTTACCAAACATTTCTTAATAAAAACTTTATATTTCATCTATTTTCAGTAACGAATCTCTGTATGGGTTCGGTAGATTTGATTGATCTAGTAACCAACGAAGCAAATTAGGAAATAAATATAAAATATGCCTCTTTCATTCTAGAATGACAACAAATTATACCACAAAAACACAAATATTTAGACTAAATAGCTTAAATCTCATAACATTATACATTTATATATATATATTTATTATTTTTATTATATTGACCTTTCAGCCGTGCCTGGTTAACAATACAGAAGTTACAATAATGCAGCATACGTCCACTCATGTTAATGTATCCAATAATATAAAACTGACCTTTAGTCTTTACAAAGTGACTTGTCTTGGCTATGTTATAGTAGACTAGTATTTTGTAAAATACAGTCACATATTAATTATTATACATTATATATGTATATAGATTATTGCTATTTTGAAATATGTTTTTCTTAAAACATAGAACAGTAAATAAAGAAGTAAAGTAAACATTTATCTCTTTTTAGTTGCGACCTTTATACTCAGTTGCTCCTTGATGTAGGTTGCTAAGCCTTTTAAAATTTCGCACGTGGAGGATATGAAACAAAATAATTTTTTTAGGCTTTATATTCACAGATGGATAAACAAAAAATCATAAATTACTATATCAGTACCATAGAATTCCACTGTAATTTATCAAGCTTAGCAAGTAAGTTGTATTTGAGTCCAAAAAAATATTAAATTTTGAGCAGACTAAAGACACAACTTACCTCCTTGAAGTCTTGGTTTGAAAGAAAGAAATGACATCCTAAGGGTTTAAAATGGCTAATAAAGCCACTAGGGGGACATTCTGAGCTTTTGATTAGTTATTTGTGTCTTATTATAGAAGTAAGTTTATATAAGGGAGCATTTCCAAAATTGAAAAGAGGTGGGTGGGGTGCCACTGTG